CAGCGGCGCCCGGTCCTGTCCCCCCGCCGGGGCATGGCGCCCGCCCCAGGAACCGGGCAGCAGGCTAGTGAGGACTCGCCCCGCCTGGGTGCGAAGCGGGGCGGTCAGGCGAGGGTCGGCGCTGTGTGTTGCTGGGGGAAGGGGGCTTGTCCCAGCCCCCTCATGGAAGTTGAAGGGGTTCCTCTGTCCGCAAGCCGCCCGCTGCCCCTTTGTGCTTAACTTTCTCCCTGGCACGTGAAGTGGGCACGACAGGCCTAAAACAAAACTCAGCCGCGGATGCACCTTGGTGCGAGGCAGGGTTCGTAACTTGACCCTTTGCGACGCTTTCTGTGACCATAACTCTGCCCAGTAGTAAGGGGGAGCCCTGGTCTCTGTGAGTTCTGAAGATCATTGTGAGGCTGTGGAAATTGTGGGTCCTACTTATTGTTTTAGGAGTACCCTGATGTTTCCATGACACATCTCCTAATTCTAAGCATAGCCTTTCATCTGCTGCCCTGATGTAATTCTCAAAGGCTGGGGTTCTCTTCTGCAGCTGAGAAGCAGGAGTTTGGTTTGGCTTTGTTTTTACCTTCTTTCATTAATTTTAGTTGGATAAATGAGGTATTTGCTCAGGTTTTTTTTTTTACCTACTCTCACAAATTATGCTTACAATATGGCTGATATTACAGCTTAAAAATGAAATGTTCGAACCTTTATGTGTTCAAATGTTTTGTCACTCTTAATCTTTCTTTTTTTAATACATTCAGTGTGTATGAATCTTTACTTAGCTGCCTTAACACCCCTAAAAAATTAGGGAGCCTGATCTTGCAAATGCATTGCATATTTGTACCACCTTGAGTTCAGAGGGCTGGAGGAGGTGATCTGTTGAGGTTCCTCTTAAATTTAGTCCTATGCTTCTGAGACTTTTGTGATTCCACAGACATAAGGACTTGCACATGCGGATTTAGGGCCTTATGTGGTATATCTTGGTCCTATGCTTCTGAGACTTTTGTGATTGCACAGACATAAGGACTTGCACATGCAGATTTAGGGCCTTATGTGGTATACCTTCTTTTCTTGTACCAATATTATCTGATGATAATTGGCGTTCTGGTCTATATTTTCTAAATATATTTTGTGCTTCTCCAATAGCTCTTCAGACACAGAGCACAAGATGTTACTGGTTTTACATAAACAATTTATTTTTCCCTTCAGATTCTCAAGTGACTGCTATTCTTTAAAGCTGCGTTTAGCTGATCATAAATGTGTAAAAGAAATACTGTCAGTTGACAAATTATTTAAAAGGATTTAATCCTAAATATTCATAAAACTACATATCTCTCTAATTTATAAAATTCTAGTTAAAAAAAAATTTCAATGAACACATTTAAGTTTGAAACCCAGATAATAATACAGTAATAAGTACCTAAAAGTGAACCTACATTTTGCTCCAGTGTTAGTGACAAATTGAATTTTAAACATTATTTCACTTGAATAATCTAAGCTGCTGTTACTAAGATGTGTAAAGAAAGGCTTGTTTATAATATTACACTTTTGAAGTTGTCCTTTAATATGTTCTCTTTGGCTTCAATTGTGTTCCCTTTATCTTTTTAATTTTGAAACTGTGACATAGACTTCTTTGAAGAATCCACAAACAGGATTTAATGAATGTTATTTCTTATAGCCAGTAAATACAGGAAATTAAATTTATACATTCTGACTGGGATTATTTTGGAGAACTAGTGATTTCATGCTGTTGGTGTGAATGTGTCAGATATGAATGATGATTAGTTAGAAGGAGATGCAGAAATAACAAAGGCTGACTTATTTTGTTTCTTCTGTCCTCCCCCTCCACACCTTTTGGGGGGCGGGGGGAACCAAACCCTGCTGACGCTGAAATTGCTTAATCATATTCATAGAAATGTAGGGCTGGAAGGGACTGCAAAAGGTTACCTAGTCCAGCTCTCCTCACTGGACCAAATTTGATTAGCTAGTCCACGAGAGGTGTTTATCTAATCCAGTGGTCACCAACCAGTAGATCAGGATCTACTGGTAGATCGTGGAGCCTCTGACAGGTGATCCTGACTGGTTTGGCTGGGAGACTATCAAGTGCTGGCACTTCAGCTGCCCCTCCCCGTACTGTCCTGCTGCTCTTGCCCAGAGTCTCAGAGCTGCCTCCTTGGAGCCTCCTGTTTGTTTTGCAAGGTGCGGGAGACACAGGCAGGGAGGTGCTGATGTTACTATGTCCCCCTCTCCTGTACACCATCTTCACAGAATGAGGAGGGCAGAGCCTCTGTGAAGGGGTGGGACAGGGTCTTGGAGAAGGGGAAGGGCAGGGTTATTTGGGTATGAGGTAGATTATGGACTGACTTAAATTCAAAAAGTGATCTTGTGCTTAAAAAGGTTGGAGACCACTGGTCTAATCTAATCTCTCTATATTTGAGTGTCTCTGCATCTCTTTGTCTGTTTGTTCACAAACTCCTCCTAAACTGTAAGAGCTAGGACCACCAAATTTAGGGTAAAAAAGCAGCAGCATACCAACTTAAACCAAGGTCAGGGTTTGGTTGGGCATGGAAAGGGAAAGTGCTAGGTATGGGACTATTTCCCATAACATGGAAAGGAAGGGAGCAGAGAGAGCAGGAAT